ACAACTGCTCACAACATTTCGATTTAAAGGTTTCGTGACTGCAGGGATTCATCTTCTTGGTTCTTTCGGTAAAGTCACGTAGAAGGGAAATAATAAAATAATAAAAATAAAACATAATAAAATAATTCTCACGACGTTTCGGCCACAACGCAAGCAGCCGTCCTCTGACACTGTCTTTCCGACAGACCTGGTCTTCACCTGAGGACGGCTGCTTGCGTTGTGGCCGAAACGTCGTGAGAATTATTTTATTATGTTTTATTTTTATTATTTTATTATTTCCCTTCTACGTGACTTCACCAAAAGAACCAAGAAGATGCTCACAACATGTTGCAGAGACATCCACATAGGAGGGCAAATCCGTGCCATGCAACCAAGCTACTCAAGCGACCCGGCTTCAGACTCCACCTGCGAAGTCAAGTTAACCCAAGTCCCGATCCACTGCATTACAGGCGTGCCGCAAGGTCAGAATGTGCCGCAACACCAACATCCCCAAACGATAAACACTATTTTCTGACAGCACACGAGATTTGACAGAAAGTCATCCCGGAATGGATGAACACCAAATTAATGATTTCATTCGACAGCGAACATCTCGCATCGTACACACGGGTTTAAGTTCCATTGTGATTATTATGGCATGTAGTTTTAGTGACGATCTAACACTCAACTAGCTTCCGTCCCCATCTCCAGACTAAGCGGCGCTGGGGGGCTGGAGAACACCTCCGACTGTCGGAAACGTGGCTTGCTTCGCGTTCAGATTCCGTGTTGGGGGGGGGAAGCAAGCCATGTTTCCAACATGCATTCAATGAGTACCACCTCGTGGGAAGTCAACAATGGTGGTGGTGCAAATCAGCCCCTACCGTATAACTTCGTGTCCTTCCCCCACACCTCCAATAACCACGGTTGGCTACGTAGTGCGAAAGAAGTTCAACATACGAATGCCCACTGTTGACTCGGCAATTATTTTGCGCCCACTTGTGAGTCAACGTTAAGCTTCACCCTTCAATGCGCTAAGGACGCAATTGCTTATCAATTTATAAACTGACAAAAATGGGACACCTGGCAGCTCTCATTAAACTTTACATGACCCCCACCCCACTGCCACCAAGGCTTGGATACAGCCATAAAGGTCTAGAAATTCCAGGGAAATACATATTATGTGGCAAAAGGTATTCATATTTATCATGGGACCTTTATGCCAGTAGAATACCATGCAAAATAATAGATTTTACCCTTTTTTGGCAATTAAAAACACGTGTTAAGATGTTCAAACACCAAATAGAAACATTATGCAAAGAATAAAGTTTGCATTAAAAACACACGCACACACAATTGTGGCAAAACATGCAAACACCTTCTGATAATATACGCATCGTCCTTGAAACAGATTGACCTACACCAGAAACAGCCTTCTTTATGGCCTAGTCTCACCAATGTCAGACCAGAGAACGCCCATAAAGCTTGTTTGTCGTGTTCGACATCGTATTAACGGGAGCATGCGCGGCGGTGGTGGCAGCTCGCCGGCGACGTTACGCGGCCCGGCGTTACACACACACTCACTCACGAGCATCATTAATGAGCTGCCGGTGGGGCTTAATGAAGGTTCACACGCTCGCTCTACCAAACCGGGACTTCTGCCACCCTGTCCCCCATCTGTACAAGCAGAGATCAGAGAACAAACACCCTTCTTTCCAACGGAGGTATTAATGCAGACTTAAAAATGGACTTCAAAACAAACTGCAGGGATTCATATTCTTGGTTCTTTCGGTAAAGTCACGTAGAAGGGAAATAATAAAATAATAACAAATTTTTATATAAATTGTCATGACGTTTCGATTGCAACACAAGCTATCATCATCAGGTGTGAAAACCACAGCAAGACATTTTAAAAAAAGGTGGCGGTTTTTTCAAATTATTCTTGCTGTGCGTTTCACACCTGATGATGATTGCTTTGTGTTGCAATCGAAACGTCATGACAATTTAATTGTTTTATTTGTATAATTTTATTATTTCCCTTCTACGTGACTTTACCGAAAGAACCAATAATATGAATCCCTGCAGTCACGAAAGCTTAAAATTGAAATTTAAACTGCAAGCTGTAAACTTGCTATTTTTCTCCATCCTGTGAAGTGTCGTCAACCTTTTTCGGACCGAGATCACCGCTGTGGTTGATGAGCCTAACAAAGAGGTGCAGGAGAGAGTACCATGTACGAGTAGGGAGATGCTCGGTGTACACAGGAAGCAACTTAAAACCATTGCGCGCCAAGGTCAAATCTTGCCGACACTACATCAACTCCGACAAATGTGCGCTCCCTTTCCAAGGCAGCAGCAGTAAATAGGCCACTTATTTGTTACACCGCGGATATTTTGTGTCTGTCCATCAGGCTGTCCAAAGGACATACCACACACATTCTGGCAATATCAGCAGCAAACACCTTCAAAAACGTGCTTTTGTTCCTGCTTTCTAATGTTGAAAGCGTTGATGCATTAGCTCTGTCCATCAGCCTGTGACCGTGTCACTATTACGAGCATAAAGATGATCCAATATGAACGAACCAGCAGTGTGAATGTAGTGTTGCCATGTGAGATTCATCCGATTGAAAACCAGCCACAATGATCGCAGGATTAGCCAAAAACAGAGACAAACATTATTTGCAAATAATAAATTCCGATTAGCACGGTTGGCTACGCACGGTGCCAAAGTTCAACGTACGTACATACACACACATTTGACCCCGAGATCTACCTGTCGGCTTACAAAGATCGCAAATTAAATAGTTCCAGAGACAAAACGCATTGGGAAAAAAAAAAATCGCAACAGGATGCATGCGCAATTTCCCCCCCACCCCCAATTCTTTTTTTAACTCTTACCGTTACGTTTCTCATCGCAGCGATTATTGCCCGTGCGTTAGAACGAGTGTGTGTGTGGTAGAAGCGTGCATGTTAAAACACGTGCGCATGGGCGCAAACTCTAGCATTTAAAAAAAAGGGTACAGCGCGAGATGTCTTCCAGCAAGAACACGGCACTCCAGCTCATCGTCATAGGCCACTCATAACGTCCCCCTGGCCGGGCGTTGTTTTTGTTCGCGCGCACGCACGCACACGTTCACGTGCGTCCGTTTGTTTGCGTGTTCTTAATTCCCTAGGAAACGCCTAACAAAAACAGAGCCTCTCTTAATGCAACGGTCTGCGCACTCGTTTCCCTCAACAACGTGCGGCTTTATATTAAAACAACTGGATGGAAATGCTTCAGACAACGGTGGACACCAGGGAGCTGCAAGGTGGTCAGACAGTTTGAGTGCCCGTCCAATTTTCGCACGCGCTTGGGCGTTGCCCTCGCGTACGAGCGGCGAGGTCTCTCCAATTCCCTACCACAAGCTCCACTAAAGAAAAAAAGCAGTAAACCGGACAACAACGAACTCGAATCTTGTCGAGGAGTGGTGTCCACCAACCCGTGGTTCTTGGGGCCCACATGGATGTGGGAAGTGGTCCGCAGAACTTGTTGCAGATACTTGGGAGTTGCTTCACAAAGCTGCATAATTTTTACTGCCCGTTGTTTTTTTAGGGTTGATGGACCATTCATGGCATCCAAACAGATTGGGGACCACCGTTGTCAAAATCTACCCAGGCTTTGTGCTCTGGGCTACTCCACACATTTTTGTACGTTTATTATGTTGATTAACTGCGAATAACCAAACCAAAATAGAGATCGATTGTAATTTAGATGATCACATTAATCTCCCCCCTCTTCTCTGCACACCGGATTGGCTCACAAGTGACGGCACCACATGTATCCCTCTATTCAAGACCGGAACAGGAGGATTTCTCCACAACTTTGACTGCCGCCTGATGAGACTGGTTGTAATGACCTGCAAAAAATCGTACTAGAATGGAAAATGGTGTGGGTTTATTCTCCAACACACGAGTGCTGCTGAACTAATAACGAACATGGCATGTTTTACATCATGGGACCTTCTTTGCCAGTACCAAAATAAGAGAATAGGTTTCCCCCTTTTTTCTGGCAACAAAACAGATGTCAAGATGTTAAAACACCAAACAGAAACCTTTTACAAGGAATCATGTCTGCATTAACCGCAATACTTGTGGTCAGAATGCAAACAAAAAACGTACTCTGATAATATATGCATCGTCTTTGAAACCTATTGGTCCACACCAGAGACAGCTTTCTTTTGAGCCTAGTTTCAAAACGGTTCGACCAGAGGACACCAAAAGGCCTTTATAGACAATGCATATGTTATCAGAATTCGTTATTTGTTTGCATTCTGACCACAAGTATTGTGGTTAATGCAGACATGATTCATTGTAAAAGGTTTCAGTTTGGTATTTTACCATCTTAACACAGCTGTTTTGTTGCCAGAAAAAAGGGGAAAACCTATTCTCATGGCACGTTTCGTTTACGTGACAAACCTTACGAATTAGCGGTGTCAGGTGGTGGCAGTTTTAACGACACATTTATATTTACGCGATCTAAACAAAACCTCTATAACAGATATACAATTTTTATGTTGAAATGAGAAAAGCTATTCAAAAGTTAGCCAAGTGTGTCGTTAGAAATGCGAGCGATATCACCGCTATGACACCCTGCGTTTGTCGTCGCACTTCATTCAAGAGACGCGACGAGCACTTCGACCGAGCGACGCGACCGTCGTCCTCCTTAAAAAGACAAAATTGGAGAAAGTGGGGCCTATCATACAGGGACCCCAGTTGAAAAGAGCCCTTGGGGACTCGGCGAGGCTTTGCCGGGTAAAATACTTAAGGCACATGTTCTTTGGTTCTTTTGATAAATTCACGTAGATAAAAAATATAAGAAAAAATTAAGTGAATAATTGTTTTTTTTGTATTCACTCTTTTTTTTTCTACGTGACTTTACCAAAATAACCAAAGAATATGAATTCCTGCAGTCACGAAAGTTTTAAGTCACTTTATGGCACATGTTGTGCGCGGGCGCGCGTGTGTGTGTGTGTGCAAGTTTGTCGCACCTCTGCGGTCGGCCATAGCTCCTTGACGACGGTCTCTATCCTGTGCACGACCTCGCGGCGCATTCGCTCCTCCGCCTCGCCCGGGGACATGTACGCGTAGAAATCCAGCACCTCCTCGTGAAGGCTGCGCAAACACAGGAGGCGGCCCACAGTCACTTAAATCACTCGCCCCGCACTGTTTGTGGTGGTGTGTGCATATACCTAGGTCGACCCAGCCTCAAATGAGTACCTGGTGCGGTGTGTAAACATCGCCATTAGGGAGACAAAGGCGGTTGGGCGTGGTGCTGGCCACCCACCCCCTCGTGTACCGTTCCGGCCTTCATAGGTGCTCGCTAACAGCACTTGCCCCTACAGTCTGTTAAGGCTATACGGGGGACGTTTGTCTTTGATAGCGGACAAAGATCCCCCATATAGCCTTAAACAGACTCCTAGGGCAAGTGCTGTTAGCGAGCGGTGGTGTCGCAGTTCACGCGCTGCGCTCAATTCCCGCTAAAAGCCAACGCGGGTGACAATCATCTCAGCTGGTCCTGGGCCTCCCCTAGGTCGATTTAGCCTCAAATGAGTACCCTGTGCAGTGTGTAAACATTGCCACAAGGGAGGCAAAAGTCACCAGGCATGGTGCTGGGCACATAGATGCTTGCTAACTTCAACTGCCCCAAAAGTCTGTTGAGGCGATACGGGGGATCTTTGTCTTTGATAGAAATAGCCGATATACACAGTGTGCATTGGAATGTCATATGCCGGTCCATCCTAGTCCATTATATCAACACCTTTGTCTTCCCTGTGATCTAATCCCAACACACCTACTCTGGTACAAGTACCACAAGCAGGGAATGGTGATCTAGTCACTCTCAATGCGCATACAAGACTAGCAAAGCGTGTTTGATTGGTGGCAATAGCCAACACGAGTGGTGCCTGAAGCCCCCTTGGCAATCCGCTAGTTCAACTCGGCTGCATGCAAGCACATTGCAGAACCAGTAAATTTAAAATTTTTAGATATAAACTCAGCCAGGTGTGGTGCTGGCCTCATCCCTCATTAGCGGTGCTGCTCTAAACAGGTGCTCACCGACAGCACTGCCTAACCAATCAAGAAGACCAATATAATTTACTTTTTGGACTTGTTTAAGACATGTAATACAAAGCATAAACATCACGCAAAGGCTGTACTGTGTTTGATATCGGTTGCCAAATTATGAAGCCACTAGAAAATGTCAAGGCATCGTAATAACAAATTAATAGGATTCTTGAATTTAAATACGATTATAGATTTGAAGCTTTCGTGACCGATTCTTCCGCCGTTGCCGATCATTGCTACAACGCTGTGGGCTCTCATGAGATTGTCTTTTCCGAGACCAAGGTACTCTGCAAACCTCCTGGCTACCATCAAAGGTTTGTACACGAAGCCATCCAAATATACAAACAGACATAATTTCAACCGTGACGATGGGTACAAACTGAGTAATCATTGGAAAGATGTTATTAACCATGCAAAAAAGATTTAACTACACATATTTGGACCATCTTATTTGGCAGGCACCATTCTTTAGTTACCGTACAGTTTACTGACAACCAGTTTTGTTTTATCATGTTTAGCTTCTTTTTTCACACACTGCTTTCCTGCTTTAAGTTTTACCCACCCAGCAACATAGCAAAGGGCTATTTCTTCCTGACATCCTTTTCTGCTTCTACCATCTACATAACAAAGGCTCAGCCCCATTTTCAGCAGCCGCACCTTAACAACTCTGGCACCTCGCAGTTCAACCAGTCTACACAACAAAGGCTCATTCCTAGCAGCAGCCTCAGCCGCACCAACCTCACAATAATAATACAAAACTCCGATCCAGGTGCCTACCTTGGCTCCTCCCCCCCTCAACCAGTATATATACAAGGACGGGTCTCTTAAAATTTATCTTTACTTGATACAGCAATCGTGCTGTGACGGTTCCACCTGAAGACGGAAGCTTGTGTTGCCTCCGAAACGTCGTGATTTTTATCTTACTTTTATTAATTTAAATTTTATTTTTTACCTACGTGACTTTACCGAAAAAACCTATGAGTATGTTTAAACACGATGCCAAATCACAACAGATCATCGAATCACTGTGGGGGGCTGGTGGGAGGGGTTAAATATGACATTCCAAATATAAAGCACATGTATAGTTGCAAGTTCAAAGCCCCATCACGGGTCAATGTGGCCTGGCATGCCTCTGGTGTTGATGAAAATCATTTTCCACACAGGGTGGGAAGTCAAACAGAGTCATTGATGTGGAACCTGGAATCTCGAACACTGGCTCAAGGAGGAGCGCTGCTTGCCAGTGCAAGGCAGGCGCGATTTGACTTTTAGTTTCACATCAAATCCGACAATGTGCCAGTGGCGCCTCGTTCGTTGCAGTAGCTCATTCCCAAAAGGGGTTATTCGGTGTCAAATCCACGCATGGCTGCGCATTTCATCTCACGGGTCGTAGGTTACGCGAGGTGACGATAAGCTCTCGTCATCAAAGAGGCCCAAACAAGCCGCATTTAACTTGAAAGCCCCTTTTCAAGAGCTTTCAAACGACACCTCTTCAGCCAATATCAGTGGGGGCCCAGGTAAACGGCCACGATGATTTGACGCAGAATCATTCTGGCTTGCCAGCCGTCACATTTACACGTAGAATGTGATTGCAATGGCATCTTTGTGTCATGGTAACTTAGACTCGTGATTTAATTTAACGCTTGACGACACATTAACACCGGGGTCAATATCTGCCAATATTTTGAAACATTTTACGACGGAAGCGATTTGATGCTACCACGCCGTGAGTTTTAGCAAGAAGCACCCCCCCCCCCATGATACAGAGACCGCTTCAGGGTTTCCCCTTGTCCCTTGTAGAAAAGCCTCCTACCCCCCCCACCACTCCCTCAGACACCTTATCAGCCAGGTGAAATATAATTACATTGGTCGAGATTATTTGATACCCTGCGAGACCGATCAACATTGTCGTAACGACTGGATATATGATTGAAAATTTCGATTAAAACTGCAGGCATTAGAGTGTGACCTGCCCAACCTATTATACTGAGTAAATTATAACCTCTCTAAATTGGTACTACAGTTTGCAATGCAACACAATGACTGAATAATGTGCAATTGTAGTATTCCTACTATGAAAGTGCTGCACGGTTTTAACTATTCAACCTCACGGTCGATTCCTTGAAATTACACGATTCAAGTTGCGATTTGATTCAAGGATCAACATTTTTTCCCCTTAATTTTTATCATTTAGTTTTTTTGTATGCACCTCTTCTGTTTGTACTTGTACCTGCTTCAATAGCCCAAGTGTAACATTCGCAAATAATTAGCAAAAACTGCAATTAATGCACCGACCAGCATCGTAAAATATGGTCAAATAATTCCCGCTGCTGCAGTGGATTGACGAAGGGCTGTTACATGTACATTTGTTGCAAAAGGTTGATATTAATCTATGATAAAAATCTGAGGTGTATACTGAACTTCTTTCGCACCATACGTAGCCAACCACACTAAAATCAGGGGTGCGGGGAAAAGGAAACAAACTAAATATAAAAAAGCAGTTCTAAAGACTATGACCAAATCATCATGTGCCCTATGACAGAGTTCAGACTCTAAGAAAGGAAAAGCAGGATTATAGCACCTGAATGGGGGACTACACGGGAATATCAAATGTTGCGGTAGCATGACCAATAGATAGAATCCAGGAACAAATTTAATCTATCCATGTGGAACTTCGAGTCACCCCTCTTTATGCATAGATCTTACTCCAGTTCTCTTTAAAGCCAAAAGCATTCGAAAGTAACTGGTCAAACATTCCAATGCAGGGCCCTCCTGAAAAAAGTTGGACTCAGCGAGGCTTTCCTGGGTAAATATAAGGGAATTGATTACATATTTAATTATCATGAATCCTGCGTACCATGATTGCAACAACAAAAAATCAATTCTTGGATCGAATCACGACCCAAAAATATGCCAATGCAGCGAATTTCAAGGGAAGCCAAATGTTGCCTTCGGACTAACGAGTGCTAAATCTAGACTGGCTTGGCACCGCTCAAACACTTTGCTCAGCATTCCACTTGTAGTCTGGAGCATGTGTACTATGGGTTTCAGGACAATTCAGGAGGCATAAAACCGAATAACTGGCTTCTGTGGCTGGTTAAATCTCCCATGCACATTAACCAGTGCCCTGGCTTAGACCTTAAAAGAATAGATTCACATAATACATTTAAAAAACACCAAGGGCATCATTTCCATCTTCACTCAAGGGGCACTTTTCTCCAGACTTCACGCAAAAAAAGGGCACCGTTATAAACAGGTTCACACTCACTCATTCACTCGTGACAGGTGAAACCCCAGAGATAACGGTGGATTTAACAGTCCCAAACTGGAATAAGGATGGAAACCTGATCACAGACCTACAAGAATAATATGCCGAAAAATTCTAAATTAAAACTAACTTAATACCTTTTCCTTTCCTTCCCGATTATGTTGAGGATCATTTGTAAAAATAGGGATATGGTTTAATGAACTCTCAATAGTCCATGGGCAAGAACATAAATTGGTAAGACACGAAGGCAGCAAAACTTTAAAAGTACCAATTTACACGGCCAATAATAGTAAAGTATTCGATAACGCCATTAATTTCAAATGGTTCACGTAATTCATTGTTGGCAAAAGAGAAATTGGAACCACTCGAATTATGCCATCTCAAAATGGTACCGGACAAGTCCAATATCTGCTCTTGGGTCATGGACCATCAATCTTTTTATAAAGAACCGAACTGGATAACGGCTTCCAAAAGCCATTGTATTTGTGCTTTCCAATTAAAAGACTCGAGGTATACTGTTAGAAACAAATACATTTTCCTCCCTGGAAAGAGGAATCCTAACTTCAATAAAAAAACATCTTGCAACATTTTGTATCAGGAACATTTAAAATCAGTCTTTGGAACACAATGGCCAATTGTATAAAATACATGTGCCACCAAGTTTCATAAACGACTCAAGTTTTATATTCCAATGAAACTGGCATGAGTTACACGACTAACAATCCCCAAGAGGTATTATGTAACCAGCAAATGAAGTGGAAATCAACTGAACATACCTTTTAAATAGCGGTAAAATAAATACTTACGGTGTTCTACTTAACCAAATGGAGGAATTTCGTATGTTAAATGTTTGCTTGTGAACATCATATTTGTAATGAAAGCGATTTAGCACAAACAATACATTAACATTGACAATGGAAGTCTACGTAAAAAAAAAACACTTTACTGGTACTGCCCAAAAATTTCAATGCTGAAGAATTATTATTTACAAATGACTAAGCTGGGATCACACAAACTTGGGAAGGAGCCTCCTGAAAAAGTGTCGAGAGGACTTGGCGAGGCTTTCCTGGCAAGGCAGCGATGAGTGTTGTTACTTGGTGCTGCTCGTGTTTTATGGTCGAAAAACAGCATTTAAACGGTGGTAAATAGTGTAGTCGCGGAAGTTTTTGGCAATTAACATTGGATTGGTGGCAGTGTTGTGGTACCTGGTGGACAATGCAAGTGACAGCGATTGAAGGTAGTGACAGCGGTATAGCTTTCATGGTTGTGTCAGTAGATTGTGGTAATGCTGGAGGGTATGTCACAGTGGTATTGGTGGTAGAGGGGGCTGGTGGTTATGGGTGATTGCGAGTGACTGGAGGAGTGGTAGTTTGCAGTGGTATTAGTAAATGACATTGGTAGTTCCTAGTGGTAGTGGCCAATAGGTAGTTGCAGTTGTCTGATTATGTAACGTTCACAGCTCAAGTAAACTTATTTAAACAGGTCACTTTAAAAATAAGCCATTTTACTTTCAAACAAAAAGATAAATGCTTCATCCAACTGGGCATCTTCAAAACATATTTCCTGAAGATTGAAAAAGAGACATTATTCTCATTTCAATGACCGATAAAACAGACGGAGTTTCACCTTAAAAATCAACCTGTTGTTGTTCGTGATGATCATTCTTTTAAGAAGTCGTTGGTTAGCAGAAGTGGTTGAGGATGGTTCATATTACTGTAGTTGTGGTTGATGGTAGTGGTGGTTGTGACAGCATCATTTATTGTAATATACTGCAGTAGTTGACAATGTGGAGGGGTCCTGGGCATTACGAATTCCAATTTTAATATTTGGAAGTTTCAGCGGTGGGTGGTTCCGAGTGGATTATATTTTGTTGGTATTGGGTTAGTGGCGGTGGATTTAAGAGTTGTAATGAAGGGGTTGCAGTGCCAGTGGTTTTGGTATTGGTAATAGGCAAGTCACACTGCCAGCTTTAGGTGGTGTTAGACGGTGGTTGATGGCAACAGTCACTAGACGAATGAACACTGGCTGAATATTACCCGAGACTCGCTGGTGATGGTTATTGAGATGGAATGAAAAATTCATTTGTTTAAGTAGTTAGTGGGTGGTTTCAAAGAGCAGTGGTTGGTAAAAGTGGGAATTCCAAACAGAACAGTTTATTTAGAATTGCCCTGGGAGCTAATTTAATCAGGTTTCGAATTGTTGGGTAGTAGTAATTGTTTCTTATGAAGTACTGTAGCAATGCACGAATGTAGTCGTACTTGACGGTGGTGGTAATTAGGACAAGGGGACTAATGCTCGGGGTTGGTAGTTCCGGCAGCAGCAGTTAGTCGCGGGCAATTCTTTGTGGTGGAAGTAGTTGATATCGATTGTAAGGGACACTTGGGAATGATTTGCGGTGGTATTGGTTGGCGCCTAACGGTAGTGGTAGATCGCAGTGAAATTGGCATTAGATAAGCGTTAGTGGTGATGGCAGTGATTGATAGTGAGAGCATTCATGTAGGTGGGTGCTCAAACCGCATCAGTGGCGAGTTCGACTGCAAATGATACTGCTCATAAAATTGCTGAATAGCACTCTGCAATCCTCGAAAAACACGCACTAAACAAGCACACACACACACACACAAACAAAACGCCACATCCAACACACATCACGGCATGTACAATCATTCTAGATCTGTCGTAACCACACAGACACCACACACACACACGACACAAACGCACGCATCAGCAAACATTCACCAACAACGGAACAGTGGCTATCACCACAGCGCGTGTGCCAGGCTAGATGCACTTTTGAAACAACGCCAACGGTGGCAATTTCAATTGCAGGTCACGGGACAGACCCATCGATGTTGCTTGTTAAAGGTTAACCGACAGACAACCGACGGGTACAAGCCATTGCCACGGCGCTTGTGCCAGGCTAGGTGTACTTTCGAAGCCACGCAGACTTGTGGAAAAGCTCAAATGTCAGGTCAGGGGACAGACCCATCGATGTTACTTGTTAAAGGTTAACCGACAGACAACCGACGGGTACAAGACATTGCCACGGCGCTTGTGCCAGGCTAGGTGTACTTTTGAAACCACGCCGACTTGTGAAAAAGCTCAAATGTCAGGTCACGGGACAGCCCCATCCATGTGCTTGTTGGTTAACCGACAGACAACGGACAAGAGACACGACGCCACCGTCACACAGCGCTCGTGCCAGGCTAGGTGCACACCGTTGGACACACAGCAACAACAGCAGCAGTAGCAGCAGCAGCAGGCAGACGCACCCGCCAACGCCTTCGCTGTAGTCCCTCCGCTTCCACGGGGTGCAGTAGCCGCCGCCCGCCAGGATGCGCGCGTTCATGCCGTAGGTGCTCGCACGGTTCTCCCGCGCGGCCCCGGCAGCAGCGGCCGCCGCAGCACATCCCCAGGCACCTCCACCACCTCCTCCACCACCTCCACCACGGCACTCGCCGCCACTGCCATGAGACGACCCCGAACCAAAGGCGGCGGTGGCCACGGTCGCGGGGCCTCCCGGTCCCGCCTCGCCGCCCGGGGCGAAGCCGTTACGGGCGGGAGGCAGCAGCAGCAGCGGCGGCGGTGGTGGTGGAGTGGCAGAGGGAGCGGGAGGCAGCGAGAGAGTCGCGGCGGCGGCGGCGGCGGTCACGTCCACAGCCGCTAGCCCGAGGCCTCCTCCAACACCTGCCGCCGAAGCGGCTCCAGGCGAGGCCGGGGAGTGCGGGGGGACCCGTGGCCGCTGGGCCGCCCTGCGTGCTCTCCCACACGTGCATCCACAGGGTGCTGGCGGGGCCCAGCTGCTCCGGCTGAATCCACGAGATGCGCGGGTCCATGATGAGGATGATGGGGAGGTCGGGCGAGCGGGCGGGGAGAGGGGGGACGACAACTCGGAGGACTCGGCTCGAACCGTCGTGGCTCGGCCCGCGCCTTTGCCGCTCGCTGCCTCCCTCCCGCCGCAGATCGGACGAGGCGAGTGGGCGCCGCGGGGTTGGCGGTAGTCGCGGCGAGCGGGCGCCGCTTTGCCCCGGTGCCCCTGCGTCGCGATGCTAGCTGCTGCTGCTGCTGATGATGATGGCGCGGGTGGGAGGAGGAGGAGGACGACGACAGCATCGACGGCCCTCTAGCGGCGCGGTGACGTAGGCGGCCAGCGTGATGACGTTTTATAGCGGTGACCTGCGTGGTGACGTAATCACGCACGCGGGCCGTTCGTGCGTTGCTCGTTAACGTTCGTCGGCGCGGTGACGTCATGACGCTCGCGGGTGTGACGCGACGACGTCATGACGCTCGCGCGTGCGTGGTGACGTCATTTATCAGAAACGTTTCGCGTGATGTAATACGCACGGGGGCGTGCGTGGTGACGTCGGCTCGTCAGAAACACCTGCGTGGTGACGTCAGACGCACGAGCTAGCCGGCTGTTGTGGGTGACGTCAGGGAGACCTGGTGGGGGTCAAGGGAGAATGTTGTCCAAAGTTGTTGTTTGGATAAACAACGACGTGATTCATCTTCTTGGTTCTTTCGGTAAAGTCACGTATAATTGAAATAATAAAATAATAATAAAAAAATATAAAATAATTCTCACGACGTTTCGGCCACAACGCAAGTAGCCGTCCTCAGGTGGAGAACAGGTCTGTCGAGGAGACAGAGTCTGAATGGGGGGGGGGGGTGGGGGGCAGACAGACCTGTTCTCCACCTGAGGACGGCTGCTTGCGTTGTGGCCGAAACGTCGTGAGAATTATTTTATGTTTTATTTTTATTATTTTATTATTTCAATTTTACGTGACTTTACCGAAAGAACCAAGAAGATGAATCCCTGCAGTCACGAAAGCTTTAAATCGAAACGACGTGATAATCGATGGCAAGAACAGGCAAGCTGAGATTCTGTTGTCAAATTGTAATGAAGGCCAGGGAATGTTCGAATGACTGAACAGAGAAGACTGTGTAATGTCCATAATAAAGGGATTTTATTTTATTTTTGTTGGGTTAGATCTCGTAAATATAAACACAAAGCAACTGGAATGTCACGCGTATGTATGTCACCGTACGTTGTTCTTCTTTCGCTCCGTACGTAGCCAACCGTGCTGCTATTCGGAGGTGCGGAGTTGAGGGGAAGGACAAACTGAACACTCAAAGCGGCACAAGTTTGCGACGACACCGAAGTTGGGATTCCAAGGTTCTCATTAGCAGCTCCCCAATTAGTCGCTGTGGAGAATTCCAGTGGTAAATGTGACCCTGGGCCACGAGTCTTAAACCGTAGATCCGTGGAAGGGCGAAGCGAATGTCAATTATCATAATTGTTTATTTAGACTGGAGGAATCCGATGAGCTATGAAGATTTTCTTCTACACAAATCTTCAGTTGAATTTGGCCCGTCCCCTTAGTGATGTCCAGCGTCAACCCCCAACGCGTGCCACGCGAGCCACAAACTCATATATGGGCATTTGTTACATCCAATAACTAAGCCGGTGGTTACATTTTTATATAAAGCTTTCGTGACTACAGGGATTCATATTCTTGGTTCTTTCGGTAAGGTCACGTAGAAGGGAAATAATAAAAGAATACTAATAAAACATAATAAAATACAATTCTCACGACGTCTGTCGGAAAGACAGCGTCTGAATTCAGACGCTGTCTTTCCGACAGACCTGTTCTTCACCTGTAATATAAATAAAATAAAAACGCCACTTTTTTCAAAATTTCTTGCTGTGGTTTTCACGCCTGATGATGATTGCTTGTGTTGCAATCGAAACGTCGTGAGAAATTTATTGTTTTATTTCTATTACTTTATTATTTCCCTTCTACGTGACTTTACCGAAAGAAGCAAGAATACGAAGAAGCCGGTGGTTATCAATAATACAAGAAAAAAGAGCCTTGGTTATTTTAATATGGGGCCATCAATTTAGTACGTACGCATGGAGGGGGGTTAACCCAAATGCGTACGCTTGTGCATGGGGGTCTCCTGACAATGTACGCATAGGAAACGTGGGGGGGTGGGGGGTGAAGCCTCGATAACAATTTGTCTACATTGGCCTTCAAATGAGCCATAGTTGAGTATCTTCAGCTGTCAGAAAACAAGTCCTACAGGGAGCGGTGGGACTATGGGAGAGGTGTCACTTCGTGTGCCACAGTGCCCCTGACTGCAGCTATCACGCAGCTCAGCAAAATAAGTGGCCAAGGTACACAACTTAATTATTTAATGTAGCCGACGTTGTACTACTATCTGTTTGCTTAAACACGTTAATATTAAATTTCGATTTAAAGCTTTCGTGACTGCAGGAATTCATCTTCTTGGTTCTTTCGGTAAAGTCACGTAGAATGGAAATAATAAAATAATACAAATAAAACATAATAAAATAGAATTCTCACGACGTCTGTCGGAAAGACAGCGTCTGAATTCAGACGCTGTCTTTCCGACAGACCTGTTCTTCACCTGAGGACGGCTGCTTGCGTTGTGGTCGAAACGTCGTGAGAATTGTATTTTATGATGTTTTATATTTATTATTTTATTATTTCCCTTCTACGTGACTTTACCGAAAGAACCAAGAACACGTTAATATTATTGACAGATTTGTGCGTACCTACTCAATGGATGGCCCCGAATGCCTCAGGTAAGAGAGACGGTGGTAGGAGGGCATTCCAGAGAGGGGGGGGAGAGGCAAGAGACAGGTGGGTGACAGCTTTATGAGTAACATCATCCAGCAGTGGATTGAGCATGGGGGAGGAGGGGGGGGGGGGCTTCATGTCTGCGTGACGTCACAATCGGGCAGGGAACGTTGCGCCTACGTCATCCATTGACGACGCACGCGCCCTTCAAACGCTGCGACGTCGTTTGACGGCTTTAACCGCTATGACACCATCACGCGCGGGTTTGACCCTATTAGTATATTTTGGTACTGGCAAAGGAGGCCTCATGATGTAGATGCTTACCCCGAGCTCTCATTACTCTGATAGTGCGTTGTCTTTGAACTGTGCGCATTTTGGCGTCATCTGGTCGAACACCGTATGAGACTAGGCTCTAAGAAAAGCTGTCTCTGGTGTGGACCAATCAGTTTCAAGGACAGTGCATAAATTATCAGAGTATTGTTTTTTTTTTGCATTTGACTGCAAGTATCGTGGTTAATGTGAACATGATTCCTTGCAAAACGTGTCAGTTTTGTTGCCAGAAAAAAGGGGGAAAACCCTATTGATATATTTTGGTGCTGGCAAAGGAGGCCTCGTGATGGGTTTGACTTTGTCGGAGACGCGAGCTTCGTGGTGACGTCACGCGGTCACGTGCTGTGCCCTCCCCCCCTCCTCTGCGCGTGCGTCACTGCACGGGGCGGGGACATCTGGTGTGACGTCACTTGATGGACGGGAACAATTTGAAAGAGGGTGCGTGACAGGGCTGCTAAGGGGCCGTCCATAAATGACGTCACGCGATTTTGGAAGATTTTTGACCGCCCCCCCCCTTCGTCACACGACGTCACAAAAAGTCAGAACCCCCCCTCAAATATGACGTCACAAAGCTCTGCCCCCCCAATTTTTATTTTTAAAACATGCTTCAAATAACTTTAAACTATTGTCATTGTAGTGCGTATTTAATGTGGCGCTGCACTCTGATGTTGTAGGAGAAAACATTTTTTTAAAGTCTATTTAATTAATTAGAACGTGTTGTCTATATTTATTTAAAGTTGCGCATTTTGATGTGACGTCACATTTCTCAAACCCCTCCTCCCCCCCTCGTCACACATCGTCACAATTGTCTGACACCCCCCCCCCCCCTAGGTGCGTGACGTCATTTATGGACGGCCCCTAACTGAAGCGAGGTGGATTGGATGCGTAGGGGCGGGTGGTGGCGAGTTTAACGACACATTTGTGTTTACGCGATCTAACACCCCCCCCCCCCCCCCAAAAAACATAATTATTATGGACGAGGTGGATGAGTCACGTGACAGGTAATAAGGGGCCGTCCATAAATGACGTCACACACCTAGGGGGGGGGTGGGTCAGACATTTGTGACGATGTGTGACGAGGGGGGGGGGGTTTGAGAAATGTGACGTTCCATCAAAATGCGCAACTTTAAATAAATATAGACAACACGTTTTACTTAATTAAATAGACTTTTTGATAAATGTTTTCTCCTACAACAGCACAGTGCAGCGCCACATTAAGCACGCACTACAATGACGATAGTTTAAAGCGATTTGAAGCATGTTTTATTTTGGGGCTGGGGGGCAGAGCTTTGTGACGTCATATTTGAGGGGGGGTCTGACTTTTTGTGACGCCGTGTGACGAAGGGGGGGGGGGGGGGTCAAAAATCATCCTCACGATCCATGGGCAGGTGGCCCGTCGGTGTCCACTGCACATTTCGTCGTTTCTTTCCACTTTGTGCCAATATGCTCAAGTTCGTGCCACATCTCTCTGGCGCCAAATTATTGCGTCATCGTCGAGGCACGCTCTGTCAGAATCAGAATATGTATGTATACTGGAGGAATCCGATGAACTATAAATATATTTTTCACAGTCGTCTACTGGAGGCGGGTTAGAAGGTTACAGCAACAAACGGTACAAAAAACACGATAAGAGTGGGGCTTGACCTATTTACAACTATAAACATTATTTTTATTTTACCAGGTAAGGCCCACTGAGCTATTAGCTATTTTTCAGATGCGACCCGGCCACGAATGATTGCTCAACGAAGTGGCTTACCATGTGTAAATGTACAGCAGCCAAACATTCTCAACGCATGTTTCTAAGTGTGGAGGAGAAAAAAAAGAACAGAGCACGAGGAGAAAAATCCACGTGACCACGGGAAGAGAGAGACAACTCCAAATACACAGGAGGTGTCAGGGTCGGGATCTGGAACGAACCCACGAACCTCCTGTATACCTGGCGAGGCAGTTAACATCTCCTCGCCACCGTGGCACCCGTGACGGTGCGTGACACAATGCACACCTGTCAGGTGAGCCACTTGGCGACGACGTCATGGCGATTACGTTTGAAGTGAAGATGGTGCGGGTTACGGGAATGGAAGTGACGTGGCTTGCTGCTGCGATAACACGATGTCACACAATTTTTGTTCCTGGGTAGGAAGTGTTATTTCGTAATTGCTCATGGGGCCGTCCATAAATGACGTCACGCACCTGGGGGGAGGGGGGGGAACAGACATTTGTGACGATGTGTGACGACGGGGGGGCGGGGGGGTTTAAGAAATGTGACGTCACATCAAAATGCGCAAATTTAAATAAATATAGACAACACGTTCTACTTAATTAAATAGACTTTTTAAATAAATGTTTTCTC